AATACTAAAATGAAGGTGAGGGAGGTAGCTCAGTATTAGAGTATGTGCCTAGTATGCTGAAGACCCTAGTCAATCTCCAATCCGGTAAAAAAATAATAATACTAAAGTGAGAGAAGAAGTTAAAGCAAATGTTTTAAATGATCATTTTATATTGAGAATGGTAGTTTCATTAGTGAAGAATATGGACTTCATGAACACTAACAAATGGCCAAAATATACTAAGTAAACACTTACCAGAAGCCAGCAATAGTGTTATATTTCTGTAATCCTAGCACTCTGGAGGCTGAGGGGGAGGATTGAAAGTTCAAGCCCAGGCTGGGATAACTTAGTGACTGAAGGAGATTCTGTTTCTTTATTAATAAAAGGCTGGTAAGAAGGTCAGTAAGGAGGTCAGTAAGAAGGTCTCGGGTTCAATCTCCAGTACCACGAAACAAACAAACAAACAAACAAACAAACAAATAACTTGATATGAATTGATAGAAACACAATTATAGTGATATTTTTGTAACATTCTTCCTCTTACAAAGTGAGTGTATTTATGTATACACATATACATGCATATAAATGTGTGATTATCATACATATATGTAGAATTAAAGTGATAACATAGAGGGATATATGTAAAATGTGCTATGTGTTTGCTTTATATATATATATTTATATCAGATATGTCTATATTATATATGTGTGTATGTAATATGCAATTTACTAAGACAATAGATGTTTTTCTAGAAATCCATGAAATATTTATAGTACTGTACTTTGCCATATACAAAATTACAAAGCAACTTTGAACTATTTCAAAAAGTAAAAATTATACAAGTACAAGTTTGTTTTAAAATAAAGGAAAGGGATGGCTACCACCAACAATGAGAAATTTAAATACACTTTAATAGAAAGTGAATAAAAACTACAAATAAAAATGAGAGATTAGGCATTGAGAGAGGAAATTGACAAGGTTTCAAATAAAAGATTAATAAATCCTAAAATGAGAAATCCAACCATAAATGCAAAATATTAAAAGTTGAGAATTAAAATGAAAAACTGGAAAGATAAATATAATATACAATAATAAGTACAAATAGGAAAAGAAATAATTTTGTTAAAGGGAATGAATATACACAAGAAGCCCTATGAAAGAAATGAATGAATTGAGGATCAGTGCTTCAGCAGTAGGGAAGGAATGAAAGTTAATTAGGAAACTCAAGAGCCTTAGAATGGAAAGAGGGTGATGAAACTCTAGATGATAAGAAATGAAAGAAATGGGGTCTCATAGGAGATGTTCAAACTGAAGTGCAGACTTTCTTCTGGTAACTTGGCCAACTGAGCTAACACAGATTCCTCTTTCAGCCACAAACAAGGAGAAATGTTGAAAAACAACAACAACAACAACAAAAACAACAAATTGCCAAAATAACTTTGAAAAATATAGCTGAGCTCAAAAGTCAGGAAAGCAAATCTCCAGGTGTTAGAGCAAAGGAAACACAGAGAGACGCTGTGGAACTTGGTGTTCCAGGCCAGGTTAGGTTCCTGGACAATGAAATCTTGGATGAAATCCAGCTGTAGAGCACATTATGTGAAACAAAGGTAACAGAAAGAGGCAAAGGGAGATCATGAACTGGGATGCTGCACCCCCAAGTCCTGTAGGCCTTTTTGGCACTTTGGAGCTGTAATGATCCTTCAGAGTGGCTACTGGTCAAAAGGCCTGGCCTCTGCCCCCACAGAAATGTCATGAAGTGTGGCCTGGCCCTGAAAAATGACACGTCTCTCTGGATGAGGACAGATCCAGGAGGAACTCAGCTGAGAGCTGTCAGACAGAGCCTGACCTCCCAGCCTCTTGGGAATGGGTACCTCAGACCAGGGCCAGGTGGGATGGTGCTAGAGACATCCATAAAATCTTCTTTGATTACATGGCTGAATCAATTTTTTCCAAAATCATTTAAATACACCTATATAATTTTGACAACTTGAATATTTTTTCTTTCCAGGTTTTTGGGAAGACACAATCAGTACAGCCTACTATCTTCTGCCCAAAAGGTATGCAAAAACACACTACTTATGTACAAATATATTAATCTCAGTATAATATATATCAGTGGAAAAATCAAAAATGAAAAATCGAGATTTATCAATTCTCAATGGTAATTAGAATGGTGAAATTACATCCAGCTACTAAAATTATGTTTTCATTGAATTGTTATTAAGATGTTAATATGTGTATCCTCAATGCATCGATTGGAATATTCCAATGTCTGAAAAGATTCATTATGTAAAATTTTGCACTAATTGCTAATGCATTAAAATATAGAAGGAAACCAATCAAAATAATATCAGAGTGGGATTCTATAATGCACGGATTTTATGTATTTTCCAAATTATCTAAGATCATATGTTACTTTGTAACCATAAAAATTAACAGTTTATAAAACAAATGAAGTTGAATTATTTTAGTACTCCATTAATTTGCACACTTATATGTGACATGAAAAATGGTCTGTGAGAATAAAACAGTATTATGTTGACGATAGATTTTTAATATATTCAACATTTTTCATCTTATTTTCAACACTACAGTCATTCTCCCTTGGTGGCTGTGTCTCTTTGATCCTCTGGGCCTTATGGTCAACTATGGTCAAAATATTAAATGGAAAATTCCAGAAATAGGCAAGTCTTAAGATTTAAATTGCATGTTATTCTGAATAGAATGCTGAAATCTTGTGCCATTTTGCTCCATCTTGGCCCAGACACAAACTACCATTTTGTTCAGCTTATCCACACTGCAGACACTACCTGCCTATTAGTCATTTAGAGACCATCTTAGTTATCAGATCTACTACTGAGTCATCACAGTGCTGTGTATAAGTAATCCATATTTTATCTAATAATGTCCTCAGAGTACATACAGGAGGTGTGACACTGGCAATTTGGATATGCCAAATGGAAGCTGTAAAATGCTTCTTTTAAGTGAAAATATGAAAGTTCTTTACTTATTAAGGAAAGAGAATCTCACGATGAAGTCACTAACACCTACAGTAAGAATGAAACATAGTCGATTTTTGCATTATCCATGGTTTCGGGCATCTACTGGAAGTCTTAGAACACAGCTACCAAGTTAAGAGTGTAGTAATGTATTTTCAAGATGAACAGGGAAAAGAAATAAACCTTAGGGTTCCTAGGTTCCTAGAGCCCTTAGTGTTCCTTTCTTCTATAATGTGACTTTTTCTTGGTAAGCAAAAGTCTCAAAACTGTTTCATTGTGTGCATGTGTTTCTATGTGTGGACATATGCTTGCCCTTTCTTCATGTGTATTTAATTCCCAGTCTTCTTTGGATCCCTTCCTGTGTCTATTTCAGTTATTCTAAATCAAATTCCCTTTCCATATGAACCCCACTAGATAAAGAAACATGGCCAAATCATATATTTTTTCTACAGCTAAAAATCTCACTCATACACAAGGAAGCAATTTAAAATTTCTACTTCTACAGAACAACAACAGAAAAACAATATGACAAAGAGTATCATTCTAGGGATTTTTGAATGAATGAGTTTTTTCTCTACTAGAATTTTCTCCTTCGTTGCTTATATTATAAAGGAAAGAATCACACTTTGAACCAAACACATTGAATTAGTGGAGAAGCCCATGTTAGTGTTACTATTGCTTGCATTTTTGCTCCTTCTCTGCCCTTTCCTCCCCACCTCATCTCCTCCCTTTTCTCTTTCTTCCTTTTATTTTTTTATTTTTTTATTTTTTTTTTTGGTACTGGGGATCGAACTCGGGACCTTGCGCTTGCGAGGCAGGCGCTGGAACCACTGAGCTAAATGCCCGGCTCTTTCTTCCTTTTAGATGGAATCTCCAGATCCTTGGTTCCAAGCCCTGTTTGTCTCCTATCAGTCTTGCTCAAATCTTTTCCTCAGCCCCTCATCTCCAGGTGTCTTTTCCACATCTCAAGTGGATTTCAAGGTGTCAAGGTGGGCAGTGACTGGGAGACGCACTGAGATCCAAGGTTTTAGAAGCTTATGTGTTTGAGAGCCTGTGAAATCCTCCCTGGCCTCACAGTCTCAAAATTGTTTCAACCCACATTTTCTTTGTCTTTTAAAGTTTGACATCCAATAACCACATTTGTATCTGGAGCATGGATTCTCAGAGTTTGTATCTGAAACATGAATTCTCAGACTAAGCTGATCCTGAAGATTCAATTTCCACAAATCCCTTGAAGTGTTTAACTAACTTTTCTCATTTTCAAAAATGTCTCCGATAAAAACACAGGGGAAACAATTGTTCTTGACATCACAACAGTTTAATATATTAACTTATTCATTAAATTGTGCTTCACATCAATGGAAATCCTCAATTCTACAAACTATCATTTTTAAATAGTGATAAAGGTTGATAATGTCACAATACAATCTCCTAGTAACCAAGTTCATACATATTATTGCACAGAAACAAAAAGAAATACCTCTTAGGAGAAATAATTTACTATCTATTGAATAGCTAACTTTACATCTAAAGTGGGGAATCAAATAATCCAGATTTTTCCCTTCTAACATTGTTACATTAAAATTAATAAGAATAATGCAAGCAAAATCCAGAAAGTGCTTCTGGAAAATACAGAGGAAGGGAAAGAAAAAATGGCCACATGATAAAGCAAAAAAAAAAAAAAGTGGCAAGGAGATGGAAGACAAATGTGACACTGACTAAATCACACAAAACCTTGCTCTTTGGAGCACTCTTTCCCCAGGGTTTACTTCAGCACTGACATCTGACCCTTTGAAGAGTGCCCTCAGTACAGCAGGACATGGAACTCACAGAGGTTCTACTTGATGTGCTGAAGGATGACAGTTGCAATCTTTCCTTAGATGATTGGGAACACAGGCTCAAGATACATCCATGTGTTCATGTTCTCAGATCAGTATTCTGCTAGGTTTCCTGGGGTCCTTGCCTGGAAGTTCAGAGACTTCTGTCTTGCAGATGTTGCTGGTGTTCAAAGCAGGGCCAGGCCTCTGGAAATCTCAGCACTTCTGAAAGGCAGGTTCCTTCTGTCAATGAGGGGTGCAGAGGGTCCATATACATCCCATCCACAAGGCTACAAATTACACAGATCTCAGATTTCCCCCCACTCCACTTGCCCAGAAGGCTAATTCACCATTTCTAGGCATTATTTTAAAGTGTCTAGGTAAATGTGCTGAGAAAAGCACTAGCAGTGGCTTATATCCAGTAGAGATGGGGCACACGGTAAGAAGGAAAGCCTTGGAGAAAGAACCATTGTCTGCTCCCCAGGTGCCACAAGATGTCCTTGCATTGTCAGGTTCGGCCAGCCCTGATATCCAGTCTGAAGGCTTTCAGTTGAAATGTTGATGACCAGGGGAGACAAAATCAAACTGGGAAAAGAAAATCTTACAGTCACAGCTGTGATCAAATCAGACAGTTCTTAAGTCCAACCCAGCTTTCTCTTTGATTCAATCCTCCAACTCAATCACCCTTCCGTCCTTAAAGCCATCCCAACCCTCTGATCCTGTCTGAAAAGACTCATTCCTTTTTCTGTTCTTTTACATGGCTAAAAGAAATCCAGTCCACATGTTTCTAGCTTGCCCTTGATCTTGAGGACACAAGCTTTATCTTAGTCATTTTCCTATTTTGCAGAATTGCTGGGCACATATTTTATTCATCATCTTTCCATCTTTGAGAGATCTATCTCCCTTTCAAGAGCCCCATTTTCTTCTATTGGTACCCCTACTTTTCCTAGTCCTCCCCCCAACCTCGGCATGATATCATTATACATGACCTTCTTCTCAGCCAGAGGTCATGGCTGGGAAAGAATCAGATGCACTCTTTGTGTGAAGATGTTAGCTTATGACAGCTTAAAGCATTTCCTCTCTTCAGTAAATGTGCAAAGGAACTCATTTAACACCAAATAAAACCTCTAAGAACTTAAGCAATATGTTTCTGATAAAATACTGAAGTAGGAAGAAGTAGGGAAAGGGTGATATTTTATGAGCAGGGGTTCTATTGATCACCCTTAAGCTTCTCTAACAGGCAACTACTGATCGTGAAGATTTCTAATACTATGTTTCCCTAAGGACTGTGTGCATAGTCCCTCAGCATTCATCCTGCGTACTTCTTGGTAGAATTGGGTAGACATCCAGCTAAAGGTGTTTGAATGCCTCCCCTGAGTTCTAGTGCTCCTCCATCTCCCTCGAAGCACTGCCCATTTCTTGGGTATTTCACTCCTCATAAGAGATCCCCTGGCTGGAGGCAGAATTGAGAGTTACCTCGACCAGCTCATTGGGATTTTCTAGGTCACCACAGTTCTACAAAAAGGTGAGGGAAGATATAAATCAATAAAGACTTAGATTTCCGACTTTTATATTTCCCAATCCCAATAGTGATGTGGAGCAGCACAGAGCAGTCGGAAAGGGTATGAAACCAAACTTAGGGGCTCTGAGCAACTTTCTTGCCAATGAATTAGAATATCTGGGAAATCTTTAACATCTCTGAATCTCTATCCACACTAGCAAATCGGACAATGAATAGGAGTCTCATTTAACACACAAGAATATAATGAAGGGCAGTGAGATACTAGATGTAAAAATGTTTTGAGAAGCATTAAATGCTATGCAAAGTGATGAATATTAATTGCATCCTTTGTAAAACATATGATGAAATAAATGGCACTGAAAAGCACTTGAAATATTTTCTACTACCCTCTTGTGTCAGAGACTAATAGCTTTTTATGTTTTAATTTCCCATTGTGTTTTAATAATAGAACCCTACACTTATCAAGGCACCTGGCAACCAGCAAGAAAGACATTTTCTCGCCTTCTCTACAGCGAGATGCGTCTAATGTCAGGGTCCACGACATGAAGACATGAAGTATGACTGCAAGAAATATGTGCAACTTCCCTCTCTCTACTTCTTCTCTCCTCTCTTAAATGCCAGCGGCAGGAGTTGCAGTATCCATCTTGGGCCTTGAGATGGAAACTGTACAGTTGAATGCAAGAAAAATAACAGTGACTCTGGGCTTCTGGTAATTTCACACACCAGATCTATCAAACCAGTTTGTCCAAGAGAGAGAGAAGTGGTTACCACCATTTTGAGTATCTCTGTTAAAATAGTCAAATAGAAATCCTACCCAATACATTTAATATTCATTTTTAATTATCTGTTCTCATCTCCTTGCTAGGCCTATCTGGGAGACTTTCTTCCCAGTATTAGTATACCCACTCAAATTTTTCAAAATGTTACTTTAGAGTTTAATAAAATGAGTTTTCATATATCAAACTTTTGACCAAACTATTCACGACGGAATTACTACCTCGAGGAGAAGAAACACATCTCCATATTTTTATTAACATACATTATTTCTTTAACTTCTATCTAACATTGACTGTTAAGATTATCAATACTTTCTCCAGTTACCAACAGCAGGTTGCCAAAAACTAGCAGGAGACAAAACAGTGTGTATCTTAGTCCTTAATAAAATTTAAACACAGAGGTGCACACACATATGCATGTACACACACACTCACATGCACACACACACACACACAAGGATACTCCATCCCAATTTGGTTCTTGGTACTGTCATTGTCATGTGCACCTGGGAATTGTCAAAAGTGGATAGAATGTGGAACCCCTTGGGGGATTGATTGATTGATTGATCTTTATCTCCTTTTGAGCTCTGGACTCTAATATTCCTAGAGCTGATTTGGTTTGGTACTTTGGAGCTGCAGCCTTCCCCTGGGCCCTTAGGCCCAGATGTCTTCTGCTAGCATCCTTTCCCTAAGCTTCACTCAGTATGCAGGTGTGCAGTAAGTTTTGGAGACCATACTGCATTCCTACTCCTCCATTTCTATCGACATAGGACCCCAGTGATATGACAAGTGTGCTGCTTTAGAATGAAATGATGTGAGGGAAAAGCCCATGTTGGGCTCTTTAATTTGCTCAGCACTGGCCTCCAGCCAACACAAGGAGGTGGTGTCTCCTCCACACATCCTGATATCTGGTCTCAAGTGGAGCATCATACATCAAGCCTTTTGCTGCAAGGTGGCAGTGGAAAGCCTTTGGATATAAATCCCGAGGTGTCTACGGAACAGTGGGGAGTTAGCAGGGGCTGCTTCCAAGTCCCAGCTATGCATGAATTTCCTGCCAAAACATTAAAGTGAGTTTAGAAGTAACAATTCCAATGCTTTCTAGCTTGTTTTGATTTTCTACATGACAAAACACTGAGTTGTTAGTGTGTGTGTGCATGTGTGTGTGTGCATGTGTGTGTGTGCACACATGTCTGTGTGCAACACAGTGGCAGGCAGAAGGACAATTTTCAGCCTTTCTATTCTAATCAGAACATTAGATCATAACAAGAAAATGTGAAGATAGAGAGAGCACTGCTCATTAATCCCTGCTGCAGTGTTCCTTCACTTCCTACCTTAAGAAGAAATCACTGGAGTGGGAGACTCAGATATTTTGTGAGTCCTGATCTCTACCAACTAACAAGTGATATGCACTTGGCCCTTTGAACTCACTCTTATATACTGATGCAAAAGTACAGCTGCCTAAGGAGTTATCAAATGCAGCTCACAGATGAGTCAGTGATGTGGAGGGGACTTACCCAAAGACAGCATAGCTTGGGGTCACTGCTAGCTTGGTATATCTTGCTGCTAGCTTGTGCCCCCTACATGGGTCAGAGACAGATACTAAGGTGCAGTAACAGCTGATTTCTTGCATGACTGGCAAGGACCACTAGGAAGCATAAGCCCATATCCCATATGGACAACATAGTGGTGTAGAAGCACACTGCAGTCACCCAGGCCTGCTTTACAATCCAGGAGCAAGCTACTTATCATCTGCGGGCTTCACTTTTCCCATGCATGAAATTGAGACTAATAAGACCTGCCTTGCTTGAAGAATGCATTTCAGGTATGAAAAGGGCCTCATTCCATTAGTGACACAAGGGGACCCCCAAGAATGCCTTCCCCTTTACCACAGTTATAGCCAAGGGCAGCCAGAGAGGTTCCACAGCCACATCTCAAATCTGCATTTGATGGGCATGCTGGGCTCCCCTCTGTGCAGGTAGCTCACTCCTTGAATGCTTGTGGGCTGATTAACTCTCAACCCCAGAGAGAGTATTCTGGAGGCTGAGAAGTGGCTTATGTAGAGCTGGCTTAAACATCAAACATGTTGGACATCAATGAAATAGGCTTTTCAATCTGATTTAGGGTTTTCACTCATTTTGCCTTCCGTTCCTTGAAGGAATTGATCATATCAATGTGTTGTGAAACCTTCTACCCACTCTGATCCTCCTGCATGATGTGAGGTGAAAGCTTTCAATTCCCTCCTCCATACCTCACCCCTTATTATTCTTGGCCTTTTATTATTGTAGTTGTGACTGGGGAAAGGCAGAAATAAGGAGCATTTGGCAATGTACCACATATTTGGGGTCCAGTTTAATATACTCTGTTCTGGATTTGCTACCTGTAGCCACAGTATAAGAACAGGGAAAGATCATATGGGAAGAAAGAAGATATCAGGCTACAGACCTTCCAGATGTTGAGATGCTGCTCTATCTGAACCTCCAGGACAACTGTCCCGTGAATGGTTCTATGTGTCCTGGCCCCAAACAGAGTTATTATTCACTTAGTAACCTTGACTATATTTTAACATGCTAGTTAAGCTCCTATTTTTTAGGCCAAGTTCTTTTTAAACATCATTTCTTTTGTGATTGCAGAATTTCAAACCTGGGAGCACTACGTGAGAAAATATGACTGCTCCAAACAAGTTATGCTGAAATATTTTACAAAGGAAGATTCTGTAGCTGTTTTGGAAATGTTAAACACACAGTTTTTCTCCTGATTTCCCCCTCTCTTAATTCATCATTCTTTCCTCACACTGACAATTAAAATGGTAAAGTGTGATCTGCTCATACAGAAGTAAATAAGCTCTCCTGAATGCCCCACCCATGTTCACTTCGTAGAGGCCAAAACCCTCCTCTCCTGTGTCCAGCCCCTGTGCTCGAACGATGGAACGAAGCAAGGCTGAGAGCTCCGATGCCATGGTTTTGTAGCATGTGGATTTCTAGAGACGGTCAGTAGTAGAGTGATTGTGTTTAAAATCAACTGTAACAACAAAACACATTACTCATGATTTAAACCGCACTCAAACAAAGCTCGAAGTTCAGATGAGGACCAATAGCCAGGGAAGGGTTGGCACTAAACCTCATCTAAGGGCAGAAGGGTCCTTCTTTCTCTCTCTGAACAGATGGATATTTCCACGACTGTAGGAAACAGAACCGTCTCAGCAGAACATCCCAGCCAGTCGTTTGGCCTTTCATGTGTGCCTCCTCAGGGTCCAGCCACCCACACTCTCACGACGAGGGAGACTGGTCTTTGCTGCTTTTGTTCTTGACCTTCTAAAGTGCATTCCTACCCTACTTAATATCACTGATGGGAAAATGTCAAGGAAAAAAGAAAAAGAACAAGGTGGATAATCTCCAACGGGATAAAAATGAAGACAGAGAGGAAGTAGATGTCCACTTCAAGCCACATCCAGCCAGAGGTCCTCAGAATGGCCCAACTTCTCCAAGATAATGCAGCAGAAGGTCAGCGCACCTTCTCATCTCCCCCTCCAGAAAGAGGAGCGGCCAGCGGGTCACCATCTCACCACCTGGCTGTTGTAGTCCTCGGTGACAGTCCCCTCTGAGGCTCCACCCTCTTTGGGCCACCGGTGGGCCCTGTGCTCCCGCTGCAGCCTCCGCTCCTCTCGCCGCTTTTGGCGGTCCCTCTGGTGCTCCAACTGCTTGGTGTGGTGGTAGCGCTGCTGAAAGAGATCTTTTGCATACTCGTAAAGCTGCACATCCAGGAAGTTCAGCTCCTCGATGTGCTGGCGGGCGCCCTCATTAATCTCCACATTGGAAGCCCGCGTGATGTTGAATTGCGTGAAAGGAGAAATGAACTTGAGGTTGAATGTCCTTTCAAAGAGATACTGCGTCTTCCTCTGGAATTCGGTGAGCCCAAAGAAGGCCATGTTCTTTAGGTTGTTCTTTGCGCTCTGCAACAGGATGGCGTTTCTCTCACTCTCATTCATGAAAGTCAAGTTGTAGCAGCCCACGAGGCTGAGGTCAGCCAGCATGCGCACCTGGCGGTTGTTTGCCAGGTTGTAGCTGCAGTCCATAAATTCCCGCAAGCTGACCCCAGACCAGTCATCCCCAGGGTAGCAGGTGGGCAGCTCATCGGGGGTGGGGCTTCTTCCATCACACATATGGAGAGAGGTTTTCCATGTGGCCCCTCGCTGGACGTGTTTCCACTCGCTCAGGTACCGGGACACTGGATCCCGCAACATTGTGATGTAATAGAAATTCCTGGAAGAAACAGAGGAAGAGTAGTTGATAAGTCTAACACTGAGATTCTGAAACTTTGTCATTTTTACATCAATGTTGACTTAATGGTCTTCTGCCAAATGCCCAAGGTAGATCATTTGCCTGGGTTTGCAACCTATCAGGTGCATGTGTACATATTTCCATAAAGACACGAAAGCCAGTTTTCAGTAAGAAGTTTGCCAGCCTTTTCCTCCCCTTTCAAGTGTGAAGAGAGATGGCGTGGAAGGATTGAATCATTCCTTCATTTAGCAATTATTCATTGACAAATTACGAACGCCAAATTACTAATGCTGACATTTAGAGACAACACCATGATTTTTAAAATTTATTCTCCATTTGCCACCTTATTTGACCCTTATGACAAGTTTTTGTAGTAGATGGAGTCCTATCCAGAGGGAAACAGGCAAGGAGGTCAAGTGATTTACTCAAGGTCATGAGACTAAAAAATGGCAAGGCTGTATCCCAATTGTCCATGTTTTTTCCTTAATCTGTTACTCTGATTACGAGGTAGGTAGGGTCAGGGAAGGATCGGCTACATAGCCAACCTTGTCATCAGATGTGTTGAAGAAAAGCCTGGAGGTCCATTTGTCATAAAAGCCATAGAAGGGACCTCACAGAGGAAATGCTGGACACAGGCCTCCAAACTGTCTTTCTGTTCTAAGACCCCACTTTGGCCTCCGGCCTCTCCCACAAACATCAGTCTGATCTCAATTCACCTCAGTCTAGTCCTCAGCTCATGGAGGTGCACCTGCTCCAGAAATATAGGCTCACTCATATTAACTCAGAGTTACCCTGGGAAGACAAAAGTGATTCTAAAATGTTTTGAAAAGAACAGCAGGTCTTCCCTGACCCCTGTGCAAGTGACTGAGAGCTGCAGAGTTCTGGAACCATGGCTGGTGCTGGGTTGGCCTGGCTGCTGTCCAATGGTCCCAATGTGGCTCACAACGCTTGGGCAAGACAAAACCAGGCCATTTTTGCTTAGTATTTGCTCTTTGAAGAACTTGACACTAAAATAAATACACACACAAATTGACAGCTAGATAGAGAATCTGTGGAGGAATGACTTTTGGTTATTCTGCATCATATTCCTATTTGTCAAATATCTCTGCTATCAAGCAGTTGTAGGTATTGCTTGCTGGGATCAGCCTTATGTGTTGTCAAGTAGATATCTGCAGTTGAAGATAAGTGGTTGTATGTTTGACTCTATAATTAAGTCAAATGATGCTTTAATCCTTGAAAAACTGAAAAAAAAATCTGAGGGGCTGGGAGGTCACTCTGCCCACTTTAGTCTCACAAGTCATGTCCACGTCACATCACAGAAGGAGGCCATCACATGAGGTCAAGTTCTAAGCTGAAGACAGCTTCTGTGTCTCCCACCCCCAAAATCACCTTTGGTAAGAATATTTAATTGCTGCTTTAAAAGGAATGATGAAAAGAGAAGAGGAAGAAGAAAACTATGTCCCATTTTGGTGTGTGTGTAATAACAAAGTATTAATGAAGATAACAGGAAGCTCCATGAAAAAACTAAATGACGGGAAATGAACACATCCTAATTCCCAAGGAAGGGAGCCTAGAAGGGCTTAGTAAGTATATGTGGAAAGCTTAAACTGCTGAAGGCTTGTATTCTATTTAGTGGAGACATTTTACTCAAGTTTTCTAACTTATCACTTCTATACTACTCACAAAAAGTACTTTTTGAGATTTTGGGGTAAAATTTTTAAAATATTGTCTTAACTTGGATTAATGAAAATTTTATTTTAATAAATCTGTTGAAACACTTTCATGCCAAATGTTCTCCTCATAGGCCAGCCCCAAAGGCCTATGATGTTCCAAACTTGATAAATGCCAGGCACTGTGCTAAGGAAATGGTCCATTTCAACATCCCCAGGAGGTAAGTGCACATTGTTCTGTTTTGCACTTAGTATTGAATGAACCAAGGATTTGAGGAGATGAAATAAGCTACCCAAGGTTACCTTAAATAAATTTCAGAACTTGGATTTTATCGCATCTGTGTGTGTCTGTCTGTCTCTCTCTTTCGCTCCTATATTATCAAAAGAAAACATTCTCATTTCATAGGAAATACATACCCTAGCATTTGCTCTAATGGCTAAGCTAAACAGGATGGAAAAAAATGTACATGTCCAATAAACACAATGGAAATAAAAGGAATTTAATGGTGAAATGCTTGTGTTTCTGATTTTTAAAAAGAAGTTATGAAAATAGTATTTATTTCTATATTTAGTTATTTTGAATATATAGCCTCACTAGTAGGCAAGTCAGTTTGAAATGAGTTAAACTTCAAAGTCAAATAACACTAACTTCCCTTTTCATTGTAAGGAAGAATTTATTGAAACTGCTAAAGATAGATCAGCCTGAGCCCTGGCTATTGCCAATTACCATCTTACATTACTCGATTGTCTTGTCAAGTGATGGAATAACTTCTATCAGTGGAAGAAAATGTCCTAAAAATTCAGAAGGGGAATCAGAAAAAGGCTGACGTAGCTTCTGGTCTCCACAAGGAAATGCCATAAAGTTTTTCTCAGCATGGATATTACTACTGTTGAACATTAGATGACTTGTGATTATTAATCCTGCTTTAGCCCCATGTCAAGATGTGTTTACATTTCAACTGTAGGAATAGAGACAGATTTTTATATCACAAAACAATTGGTCGATAGCTACATAAATAGAATAATGATGATGGTGACATAAACCGGTGAGTTAAAGATGCCAAATACATCAGGACAGAAGAATTTAAATCACAAAGATCTTTGAATTGAGTCAAATTAGACCACAAATAGAAAATTTCTTACTTCCCTGTAACTAGACAAACTAGAAGTCCTATAAAAGGATCTGAACAACAACAAAAAGCCACCCAATCAATTTATAAGCCTCAACCTTATTTATGTCTCTCAAATTTTATATGATCTAGATTTTTAAGATAACCATAAGAGTTGCAGGCTCTTAGAGCTGTGAATTACAAAGATTGGAGACATAAACATTTAACTGAGACTGTTGGAATATGAAGAAGTTTTTGTTTCCCTCGGGGGAAAGTTGGCCATTGACTTTTTGATAACTTTGTTCCTTTGGGGATCTACATTATCTTGAAGCTAAAGGAAATAAGATTAGGCTTAAAATGGTCTCGTATTCAAATTTAACTTTATTTAGCGTGGTACTGAATTTAACAAAAATTTTGCTTAGCAAAATCTCTAGGAAGACATTCACCAAATTAGGGACTTTTGAATGAATAGAATTGACTCCATTCTGAAATGTCCCCCAAAAGTCCTTATGTTAACAGCTTACTCCTCAGCTTTGGAATTGGAAGGTGGTGAAACTTAAGAGGTGAGGTCGGCTGAGAAAAAGTTAAGTCATGCCTTTTAAGGGGATAAGAGGTCCAGGCCACTTCCTGTCTCACTCTTTTTCACTTCCTGGCCACTATGAGGCGAATAATGTGCTACCTTACTATGAATCGAAAATAAACAGTGCCAAGTGATCACAGACTGGAACCCTTGAAACTGAGCCAAAATAAACATTTCCTTCTTATAAATTCATTATCTCAGGTATTTTCTCACAATGTCAGAAAGCTGACTACATACTTCCCCACTCAAAAGCAATGGAGTAGCATTTTCTTCTGCTTAAATACCTCCCAATTCAGTTTCTCATGAAAGTACTTAAAGGATTCACTATTACTGAAATCTGCAGCTTTATTTTTTAGGCCTCACTTGTTCAATAGTACAGTGGAATAAGAAAATCTGATTTCTAGGGCTGGGTATGTATCTCAGTGGCACAGTGCCTGCCTGGCAAGCACAAGGTCATGAGTTTGATCCCCATTACCAAAAAAAGAAAAGAAAATTCATTTTTAAATGGTAAAATAAAGAGGAAATGCAGTCAACTCAAAGGTTGTGGTGACCATAATACAAAAAGATATTCATTGACTTCCATTTCTTCTAATTCAGTCTCTTAAGACAGATTATCACTTATTTATATATTTATCCTGATAGTTAATTTAAACTCTTCCCAGATTTTGGAAAGATAAATAAGTAAATTAATGTTCCTCATTTCATCAATTCATTCATTCATAGCTCTCTAAATGTTAATTGATTCCCCTCTATTTACAAAGCACTGAGATTAGTCATGGAGGACACAGAAATTAATAAGACATTGTTAAAGACATTTTGGACACCCAAAGATTTTGATAAAGTAAAAGAAATATTAACTACTAAGTTAAGGGAAAGTTCTGCCAATGTTCTTGGACCAGAACAATCCTGAAGACAGATAACTTTGGTTGCCTTGGTGACAGCATCCTGTGCACAGATTTTTCATTTGGCACCTACTTCATCAAAAGCTTGGATGAATTCATTTAAGAAAGTCTAACTCTAAAGTAATTTAAGCTCTTCAGAATTGTCTTTCTTGTGGTCACAGGTTAAGAATGGCAAATACTTGGGTAGTGAGAAAGGTAAGAGACCTGGGTTCCTTTGTTGGTCCACTAATTATTTTAAGTGATCATTATCATTATCATTATCATATGGGCCACAATGGCTTAATAGAGTTCAAAGATAGGGAACATCACTTTTCCGTGCCTGGTTTAAAAATCACTTTTATTATGTTGCTCTGCTCACATTAAAGAAATCAAAGCACAACACAGGGCATTGCTGCCTTCTCTCACTTTGAAAGTCTTTGCCTCTTCCTTTGCTCATATGTGTCTAACTCATCTTTCCTGGCCCAGCTCAAGGCCTGGATCCATCTCCCCAGACTTTTCAGTCTCTAGGGTTTCCTCCACCACATATTGCACTTTTGACTTTTATGCAAAAGTCTTGGTCACATCAAAGATGTCAAGTTCCTTTTTGATAACCGTACCTTGGACAGTGTCCCATAATACCTAACACAAAGTCCTGCTTCCAGTAGATGTTCGATAAGTGATTGTTGAAAAGAAAATGATTTCATTAAATAAATGCCTTTCAATCACCAAGGTGAATTGCTTT